CGAACAAATATAATATTGGATATTTAAAATAAATCTATATATATGTTTAAACAGTTGTGCGATTTTTTTTTATGTGCTTGTGGATTTGTTTAAAAATATCTGTACAAAACAATTGGATATATTAGAATTTGTATATAGTAAACATGAGAGGAAGGAGAACGGCTTCCATATCATAGGTATATTTCTAGAAATTTCCAGCTAAAAATAAATAATGTAAAAAAATAAAAATATTTTTGAATTCTTAGTTTTTACAACCTCCAAAAAAAAATTAAACGTTCTCACAGTCTGACTAGTTATGTAAAAATGTCCATAAAAAGATTCTCTATAAAATATATTTATACATGTGTACTTGTTAAATATATTTTTTTCAACTTGCAGAAAATTTATAAGAAAATGACGTGAAAATGGATGTGCCCAAATAAAAGATGAACAAATCATTAAATCCAAGGATGCGTTTCCAATTTTAATTTATCCAAGAATAAATAAAAAAATTTAAATAATATGAATATTTAAGTTGACATAAAATAGTTACGTACCTATAGGTAGGCCTTAGCTTGGATTGGTCAATCGACTTTTCTTATTTTCTTAGTCGATTTCAGTTTACACATTCTATTCATTTATGTAGCCTATTTTTTATCAATTTTAATTTTTTTTTTATCTCAAATTATTGGGGGCGATCGCCTCCCTCTCCTCTCCCCCGCGATCCTCGGAAGTCTGCGCCTACGGTATATATTATTATTATTTCATAATTGTTTACTATCGTTTTGTTTGATATTGCTCTTTGTTAACAGGGATTTATGAAAATTAAATCATGCATTTAAATTTTGAACGTCTATTTATGTGTTTATGATACCACAATATGGTTGTTTATTTATATACAGAACCTTAACAGACGCTCAGAAAATAAACTGATCCGTGGTACAGACCCCTTTTTATCAAATTATTAACATCCGCTTGAAACTTCGTAAATAGCTTCATCTAATCGTAACCTGAAACTATTTTATTTACGAAAATTCTTGGAATTGTGGCGTTTTCAATCTGGAGATCGGCAAACTTTTGTTTATTCAATTAGGTATTATAAACTCGTAAAAACTCATTTACTTTTCACTTAAGCCGTAAGATAATTTGATAACGAAATCGAGAAAAAAACGGTTGCCTACAAAAATATTGGGCCGTTTGGCGTGACCTCCACCCCCAAAATTTCAAAATAACGAGGTTTTATACGCCACTCGTCTTAATATTTTTGCTAACCATCTTTATTCTCGATTTAGTGATCAAATAGAAAGCAAGTTGGTGTTTGACTTTTTAATACCTAATTAATTTAACATGATAATGCCCTATTTCTGAGAATTTTCGTTGATGAACAAGTTTTAGGTTATGAGGAGTTAAATTTTAGGCGGATGTTAATAATTTAATAAAAAGGCGTCTACACTGCAGACTATTATAATTTATCACTAATTTAAAAACATCTTGTTTAGTCTGATCTGAATTTTATTTAAAATAATATAATCGTGTTCGATTACCCTCATTATATAATTACAGTCAGACATATGAGCACTTTTTTTTTTTCTCTCCCCCTGCAGGAGAATTGAACATACGCCAGGAAGCTGTTAATCATAACAGACAAAAAAACATATACTAATTAGACGTAATATATACAAGAGGCAGTGGCAGGTGGGAGATTAACGATTCAGGTGATTGTTATCACGTTACCGTTAACAGGAGCTGGCACACACACACAGGCACACCTTCGTTTTTTCCAGTAGTGGATAACATCGTCACTTTATAATAATACCTTCATAATATTTTGAATGGGTCATTATAAGTTGCTAACGTGAAATACTATTATCAGGCTTATCGTTCATTAACAAATTTACTTCCTCTCTCTAATATAAAGTTTACTCTTTAAAATGTAAGGCACTATTTCCATAGTCTGCCAAATTCGATGATCCAGATAAGAATAGTTCTATTGAACTACGGCCGTTTTCAAAATAATTGTACCAACTGGGTATTTAGTTGTAGTTTTAATTTAATCTGAAAAATTAAGCTTCTAACTACCGCAATGTCTTCTAGCACCATTCTAGAAATCGATTATAATGTATATTCATGAGTTTTTCCTATTTCCTGTACGATATAAATATATGCTAAATTTTATTGACTGTTTGACATTCATGAGTTGTAGGGGTTATCAAATTTTTCAATTAATATTTTTTAGTTCTCAAAAAAAAAAAAAAAAAAAACAGATGAAAGACCTCAACTAACAGTTAATTTAAAAAATAGACAAATAATCAAAGATTACAGCATTATTTTTTATTTTAAAAACACCATGACATGACATTCATGTGAGATAAAGAAAATGCTTTTAATATTTTTGATTTATTTATAAAAATCGCATCATTCAACCTTTCAGTTTAGAAGTCCAGCACCAACTGGAGATATAAAATTGATCCTTAAGGTTAAATTAGATTTTGAATATTGAATAGTTGACCATAAAATTGATCCTTAAGGTTAAATTAGATTTTGAATATTGAATAGTTGACCATAAAATTGATCCTTAAGGTTAAATTAGATTTTGAATATTGAATAGTCGACCGTTGCATTATAAAGGAAGGAGATGGTCCGGGGTGGTGGTCATAAATTGTGACAAAACTATTTTATTAAAGCCAATGTTTCGACCCGAAACATGTCTTTAATTAATAAAATGTCTTCTTCAGGGCTAGAATGGACAAGATACAAAAAGATATAGAGAAATGTGAAAGTTACATATTATTTAGACAAAAAATGATAAACAATATGAATAAGCTCATTAAAATTATAAACAGCAAGTACATTAATATATAAACAGAGTAAGCTAAGTAACAAGATCCTAAACTGAGCTAAATAGATGGTAACAATTGTTGTAGTGTAATATATAATATATGCAAATGTGAATATACTTCTACAGATCTACAGAGGAGATTGAAAGAAAAGGAAAAATGATATAATATGAAATAATAGACATAAAGGAATGTGGGGAAAGAAAAGAAAAACAAAAAATAAATAAATAAAATTAGAAGAATAAAAGCGGTTGAGCGTGATCTCGGTCAAATCACCTCCTTGCACAACCGTTGACCTAGAAACAGTGCTTTCCCTAAATAGTACTGAACCCCAGACCCTTCATGGGTTGTAGTGGTACAGGTTTTTTAGAAGAATAAAAATAGAGACTTACAGGTGTGTTCAGCTAGGAGTTTCACTTAGAACTGGAAAATCAGGGTAAGGGTAGTGAGGGTACTAAATATTACGTAACTTGCACAATTCTCTATAGCTTTCTGTATCTTGTCCGTTCTAGCCCTGAAGAAGTCCTGCAAAGTCAGGTCGAAACGTTGGCTTTTAATTTAATAGTTTTGCCACTATTTAGCCTATTTATAACTGCCACCCCGGACCATCTCCTTCCTTTATAATGCAAGGGTCAGTTATTCAATATTCAAAATCTAATTTAACCTTAAGGATCAATTTTTTTATTTCCAGTTGGTGCTGAACTTCTAAATTAAAAGATTGAATGACGTGATTTTTATAAATAAATCAAAAATATTATAAGTATTTTCTTTACCATCTTTTTAAATTAGATTTTCTTTTTGCCTTTTCAATTCGAAGGAATATGGTGATAAAAGCCGTTACGCTCATGAGGTTATCAATACATATTCACTGATGTACACGTCCTGTTCTATTTATGTTGAAAAACTAAAATCCTGATGGCAAAACATGTTGGTTTACAGTTAATAAAGGTTTTTATTAGGATATTGGACTTTTTTTTTTTTTCTTTTTTTTTTTAAACACATTTTTCTCAAGATATACGGGAGTGTTTTAAAAATCTTTATTCAAGCAATTCAATTGCATGCAAAACCACAAAAATGATTAATTTGCATCATGCATCAAGTAATTTTCAACTGAAAACAAAGCTAAACCAAAGAGGTTTATTAGATTTGTGATGAATTTGTCCTATTTAGTTATATGAATTTTTGAAAAATTAGTCCATTTTCAAATCTTTAATAGATTTTTCTCAAGTAAGTTTAATAAAAGAAGAAATATTATTCGAAGCGGCAAGTAAATGATAAAATGTTATTTTTATTTTTACAGTTACTATTAGGACCTTCTACAGATAAAATTTTTCGGATTTTTTTTTTTATATTTAGACCATTTTGATCGAAACGTAAAAAAAAAATCTTTATCTGCTATTTTACATAATATTTTTTCAACTTTACATTGTATTGTATCAACAAAGGTGGTGCAGAGCTGTAGGTAACAAACTACTTAATAGCCTAAAATACAGAAGGCTGTTTGAAATGCCCAAAGATCAGTAAAGCAAACTTTTTGAAATTGGTCTAAAAAAAAAAGTAGGAAATTTAAAAACAATTATTTTATTCAAACTTTCTAACTCTATTATCTAAGTAAAAATATAATTTTTAATTGTAATGTTTAACCAAAATTCAACAGTGAAAAAAGAAGTATCACTGTTTATACATGTTGTCGATGTCATCATTCTTATTTATAAACTTAATATTGTATAATATAGATATTAAGTTGGTTACAGCGGCATTTAGTTCTTATGCTACCGTATGTATTATACTACATACTTGATAAGACTGATTCATTTATAAAAATTCAAAGGTTACCTAGTAGATCTTCTTCAGGGCTGTCGACCAATAATGTCGTAAGAAGCGAGACAACTCAGTTGAATGTCGACAACCCTTGAATATAGTTCTCACATGTTATGTATGAGTTTTAACCTAACCCTCAGGTTAACTTCTTCTTAAATTGAAGAAATTAATTAAATCTCCATACCAATAATTTATTTTTACATACAAAAATTTCTATAAAAATAAATCAGACTTACTTTGTCCATCTATCTGTGAGCATATAGACATTACAAAGTATGCTTTACTGTGTAAACACATTGTACATATTTAAAATGCTAATTTATTATTATACTCCTATTGATGTATTAATTATTGTGTTTACAGGAAAGTGGCAGCGGAGCAAGAGGTGGCAGCTCATCATCTTCTACTTCATCGTCATCATCAGAAAGCGATGACGAAGAGGAGGAAGAGCCTGAAAAGAACGGTGATGACATCGTTCAACTCGCCCAGCAGCTTGGAGCACCCGAGCACCCCATACCTATTTCGGAGCACCTTCAGGTATATAAAATAATATCATTTAATATTTATTTATAATTGAGCCTTTCACTTGACAGAATGATTAGCTCTAATTTCAACATCTTTTCAGCAAAATGGAAATATCACTAAAATGACTTTTCTCAAAAATGTTGAAATTGGAATTAGTCATTCTGTCAACCGAAAGGCTTGATTTATTTACACATAATAATTTTTACACAAGGATGAAGTATAAAGATAACTATAATATTCTTCAGTTTCCTCCCCTCTAATTTTTTATATATATTTATTTGTTTCTTTATTCATTATAATTAATAATAAAACCTTAAAGGCTTATGGTGGTTAGCGTATCATATTGTAAGTATATTGTAAATTTATTTATAATTATCTTGGTTTTGTTCTCGAGTTGTCAAAATAGTCTTTTACTTTAAAATGAGCCACTTAATGATTCAGTTAATACTATTTAATTAGTTCTGTTTTTTTCTTTAATTAGTTAGATTTTTGTCGTTATACTTAATATGTACAGTAAATATACCTAGAAGTTTCTTAATTATTTGTATGTGGTTTTATATTTTAGAGAACAAATAAATATTATCTAAACTACGAGAAAATTTAACTAAAAAATATGTTATGATAGATTTAAAGAAAAGCAAATAATATTCTCAATTTGTTCATCTTAGGAAAATATTTTTTTTTTTACAAATAATAGATTAAATAAAATAAAATTTAATCTTGATAATAAATTTTAATTTTATAATGAAATCAAGTGTAATTTGAACTTGGCAATTCGATCTCTCCAATAAGTTGTTATTTTTTGAGAACTATTATTTTATTATATGAAAACAGCGTGGATATAATGCATGAAAATGCAGTTTTACTTTTCATTACTTGCTTTTGATGGTTAACGGAGAACAGTCCCCCAACAATGTCAAACAGAAGAAAGAATGTGGAAGTAAATCAAAAAGTTGGGTTCTTTAAAAAGTAAATAAAATAAATGTTCATAAAAATTTAATGTTTTGAAGTGTTTATTCTTATCTATCCAGTTAATCAAATTGTAGATATTAATTGAGTCTTTAATCAAAAGAAGAAAGAAGAAGTATATTCATAATTCATAAATTATTTATTAATCGGCTTCAATAGAAGGAATAAATAAATTAAATGATTTGAGCATAATGTTTACTTTATTGTCAGGAATCGAACAGAAGCTGAGTTCTTTTCTCGGCTCCCAAATTACCCACATGTTTGGGTCAAAACATCCGTTAACCCAATAAAAATATCTTGAAATTCCTGACAATTTTGTTTCATTATTATCATCAGTTGACTACTTACCCATCTCTAATGTTTACTTTATAGTTCAGCTCTATTAGAGTATTTACCATTTAACAACAGTATTCATGTATAGTTGTTTACTGTAACTACAAATTTGATTGATTTGTACATATTGCGTTTACTTATCCTCAATAATTATTCTTCAATTTTTTTTTTTTATTGAACAGGTAATAAATCAAGAAGACCTCGCTGCGATCTTGCCAGATGTGGGGGCAGGCTCTTTGGACGGGTTCGATGCGAGTGCGCAACCCGCTCCTCCTGATTCCCTGTCCCCCTCCTCCTCTGATACGGAACTCCTCCCGGAGCAGGTGGTTTCGGACGCCATATCCAGGATCCAAATAGATTCTGATCCCGGCAGGGAAGAGCCACCACCTTCATCACACCACTCAACCCATGATGATGACTCTGAACGAGAAGAGGTATTTGAATATATTAAAAAATATATAAATAAAAAAATATCTACTTATTTATTTAATATGAAGTAGGACTATTCAAAATATTTTTTTACTGCAAAAAAGGCACACATAAATACACAGTTGTCCTTGAATCTTGTTTTAAAAGTTAGAAAAACCGATTTGGGTTATCTCGAAAAATATTATGTTAAATTCTTAAGAAATTTAAAGCTGGGTTCATACATTTCAAAAATACCACCAACCCAAACTCAAACAAATGAAATATTAAAAAAACTTGATTGACATGTGTCTGTATTTTCCGAGAAGCAAACATGGCAGAAGTTAGAAAACGCCTCTTCTCTAACTTATTATAATTTTAAAAGGGAAGAAAAATAAAAAAGAAAGATATTTCTCTTGAAAAGCTGTGAAAGATAGCAGATGGATGGGTCACATACGGAGGGACAAAAACGCTGGACAATTTACACATTCGTGTTTTTCATAGTTTGTGAAATGTGTTATTCTATCTTTAAATATTTTTGTGCAAGAAATAAATTCAGTTCATGATTAAAACAGGAATTTATATTTTAATTAAATAATAATATAAAATTATTTAATAAAATCAAACCTCTGTGTTAAAAACTGAAACATCCTGTATATCGATTTTTTTCAGGTAGCTTGAAAAAGACTCTACCTTATCTGTTTAGTTATACGGGTTTTTACGCCACAGAGAGGGGCTGGGGTATTAATGCGAAAGTTAAAAGCTCCCCGCCCTGGAACTTGATCAGCTTTATGAGGGCCTGGGCAATGGGTGTTTTGCTTGCGTGTTAGCCCGTTCGTCCACTCTACCCTTAAAAATAAATGAGACAAAAAAAAAAATCTCATCTTAAAAAGTGGATCCTCCATTAAAATGTTTTAGAAACTACTGTGCTTTAAAATAAAAATAAATTAATTGTTAACACATACTTATAAAATATTTTTATCATATTATATCTTCAACTTTTCAACTCAATGTTTGTGATCGTTTGGTTTTTTTGTTCAACTCTTTTTGTTTTTTAATTTTTCTTCATCCCTAAAATAGAAAAAAAATTGTTTCTAATATGGTGAGAATGAAAAATAGTAATATTTCTTTATATGGAATTTCTGTTCATCAATTTTTTTTTTTTCAAAGAACCTCCTCAGTGCTCAATATTTTGAAATACGACTGTATTTTTACTGATATTACTATTATCCGCACAGCCTGAGTTGTCTGACAATTGATAACATATGGCCAAGCTGAAGGGGGGAGTCGCAACGGCAGGGTAGAAAAAAAAATCAGAAACCATGTGTAGAGCAAGATGTCCTGGTGGTGTATTCGAATGTGATTGTTGTATCTGTGATTATGTATTTAATAAGTTTATTTTGCAAGGTATTTATAGTATTTTATTATTTATTGACATTCTACATTAATTATTTTAAATGATTGTTTTTTTACTTACTTTGGGAGATTGTGAGATTGAAAGATGACAGAAATTAAATATGCTATGTGTAAACATATGTTGATAAACTATTTCTTCTCTAAGTTATTAATGTTGATTAGCCAATTATGTATATTAATGATACATTACAGTACTGTTATGATTTTTCTGACTATTTCTAAGGAAGAATTTATAATAGCCCAGCTTTTGAATAGTATTTTTAAAGGTTAATTTTAACTAATAAAACAACTATTCTAAATTTATAACTAGTTGATGTGTGTTACACAGAATAATCATAAATTGTCATACTAAAATATCTAGATCAATCACATTAACAAATCTTGGTGAATGATTATTTTTATGATGACTATTTTAAAAGAAAACAAAACATTTAAGGTATTTTTTATTGATGTAGACGTGTTTCTGTATTATCTTATTTGAAATAAGTAGTAATATAATTGAGAACTGTGAACATGGCCAATATTACTGCAGCAGTCACAATGTTAACTTCCTCACCCGTGCACTTCCATACTGAATTTTGTTGCTCTTATTTATTCTTGATAAAACTCAGTTAATTAATTAATTATTATGTATTATTTGCCAATGAGGATGGTCAAAGGTACTGGTATAGCAGCATTTACAGTAATATCCTGTACGTTGAAAAGAAAATTGAAAATCTAATGTCAAGATTCTAGAAAAACAACCAGTTAATGAGACCTCATAGATTTTATGTTTATTTATTAATTAGTATAATTACTAAGATCATTCTTAGGAAACAGTTTTGTCACCTCCTGCTTGTTTAATAAAAATACTTTGATCTTGATTTTACTCTCTGTATGGTTTAACATTTTAGAGGAAATAACACTTGTATCTTTTTATTTTATTATTATTTTTTTTTTTTAGGGAGGTGGAGGATATTCTTCAAACCTCCTTGAAGATTTTGTTGAAAAGACTGAAATGTTGTCACGTGGAGGGGGAGGATCTGGAGGTGGTGGCGAAGATAAGAAAACAGAAGCTGGTGCAGCACCAGTGAGAAGAAAGCGAGGGAGGCCTCCAAAACCACGACCTCCTTCGGAGCTCGAAGCATACCCCGCCCAGAGCAATGTATCTCCCGATTCTGGGATCCAGTCCGTCGCTGGTTCGCCAGCGCATCACCCTTCACCTGTTGCCTCACCAGATCCTCGCCAGAGGCTTAAGCCACCCGTTGCAGTTAATGTAAGTACTTTTTCGTAATGAATCGGTTGTTACAGAAACGACTTGTGTGACGTTTTCATGAGTTTGAGAAAAACACAAAAACCTATATAATAATGAAATGTTTGAAGATAAAAATATACATACTAAGTGTGTAAATATCTTATATGAAATATTGTCCATCAGCACTGCTGAGGAAGTGCGTGCCGCATCGATGTAAATAAATAGTAGTCGAACAAAGTCAAGTTTGGTGAATAAGCCCCCATATATTAATATCTCCCAACTGAACTCATCAGTTGTTTCTATAACTGCTTTTGCTGTTTGTGATGGTTCATCATCATGAAGAAAAATCATTTTTTGTTGACTTTTTCAATATTCTGGTCGTTTTTAATACAATACTTGATTCTCAAATCAAACATTTGTTGTCTATAATGTTCAGTTTTAACGGTTTCGACAGGTTTTAACAGTTCATAAAATGTCACACCCATGGCCATAGTTCTTGATTTCTCACGCCTAAATAGGCTTTTGAATTTTTCAAACCACTCAAAGCATTGGTTTCTTTACGAAGAGCATTTTTTGACTAGCATTTGATGTGATTTTGCAGCACTTTTAACATGCAACATGTTTAACACTATTAAAAAGATGCTGTTACATGAAATTTTTATTGTTGAAATGAGTTGAAAATATTTGCCAACGTTATCGACTAGAAGCATCTATGGATAAATTTTGGTTTCATATCTTGTGTAGAGTAAACGATTATTACATTATTAATGCAATTTTTTAGCAATACAAGCATCATTAGATGTTTAGAAAAACTTGTAAAAATTTTACACTTGTGTTGTTTCTGCAGTAAACCGGATTTGAGTCTCTTTTCTCATTTATTTCTTCAATTATAACTACATGTGTAACGGTTTGAAAGTTAGAATATTAGTTCTGAAATAAACATGGAAATAATAATAAAAAAGTTAATAAATAGATTTGATACTAAAAGCACCCTATGGTTCTACAATTTTTTTTTTCTTTCTCCATTTCTTGTTTGAAAGGTTTTAAATTGATTTTTTTCAAGAAATGGAAATTGTGTTTGTGTGTGTGTGAAAGATGTGTCTATGATCAATGTATACAAAACCAGTAATAATAGCATATGTTATATCTATAATGAATGATTAAATAAACTTTTTTTTCTTTTAATGTTTTTTATGTGGAAATTGATGCATTTTATATAGTTTTCTTTTTTTATTATGTAGGATGAAATCACGAAAATGCAAACAACAAAGGGTGAGCTGAGGCTTGAACATGGCGGAAAAAGAGGACCAGGAAGGCCAAAAGGTTCGGGAAAAATGAGAAAGAAACGCGGAAAACCTGCAGAAATAAAGAAGCCTGTTGTTTTACCCCCAGCAGCGACTGAATTAAAAGTACCTCCCTACATTGCTGGTTCAATACAGGCCACTCAGATCCCGAGTCTACCTGGCATTTCAAAACGGGGAAGAGGCAGGCCGAAGAAAACTCCACCTGTTTTGGAACCGATTATTCCTCATAAGGAAGTAAAACAAAAGGGCATTTACCCTCGACTCCCTGTTGGACCCAAAGGTCTCATGAGAGTCAAGCAGCACAAACACAAGAAAAGAAAACATCGGCCTCGCGAGCTAACACTTGACCCTAAATTCATCGCTGAAGTTGACAAACTTGCTAATGAGTTTGAAAAATGTAGTATTAGCCTTGGCTTTAAGCCTAAGTTTGACGGGGGTATCCCGTCAGTCTTTCGTGTCAAGAAAGTTCTAAAGAAAAAGAAAGGTAACGAAAGACCCAAAACAAGTGATAAAGAATCTGGTTCAGAAGTTATAAAAGAAGAAGCTGTACAACAGAGGGAGAAGACCGCTGCAGTAGCTGTTTCTCCTGCGCATTCTTCGGTCATAACTAAAAAGAGGATTAAGAAGAGTGCTGTGGAAATACCAAAGGTAATTTATTTATTTTTCATTAAAAATTATAAAAACTAATCATTTAATTATTTTTAATATATATATATATATATATATTTTTTTTTTACAGAATAGAGAAAAAACTGAAACTGCGAACAATGAACAAAGGCTGCCTCTTAAGAAGAGGCATTATCATATATCCAGTGCCACACCTACCAATAATGACTCAGCTGAAAAGTCTGACTCTTCAGTCGAGCTAAATCAATCAAAAACAGTTGTTAAAGCGAATCTTCCTCCTGCAGATAAACCTTTGGAGAAACACAGCACCAAAGGCCAAATATCAGCTAAAGGGAACACTACTCCTACTACAAACAGTGGAAAAAGTATTCAGGTTGCTGCAACCACTTCGAAGGCTAGCGTTCAGGCATCTTGCAATAGCTTGAAAAGCCCGACCTCTGTCATCTCGTCGGGGAAAGGTAATCAGTCCGTGATAGCTTCTGTTAAAGGCAACTCTCCCAAACCATCTCCTGTCGCGGCAGTTGCTACTAGATCAGCCACGAAAACAGCTTCACCCATCGACATAAACCAAGGGAAAGCAGTGACCAAGCCGACTGCCCCAGGCAGTGAAAAAACCTCTGAAAAGTCTCACAGTTCTAAGAGCCAAATATCCAGTAAATCAGCCAGTACCCATTCACTGAACGTTGCCAAAAGTCTTATCCAATCGCCATCGTTAAGAAACAGGTCACAGTCCCCCTCCACAGCATCCAAGGGTTCTCAAAGTGTTATCACCTCTGGTAAAGGTTCTCAATCAGTGATAACTTCTGTCAAAAGTAATTTGGTCAAATCTGTTACGTCTGCTGCTTTGATGACTCGTTCAGCATCCAAAGTTGCTTCCCCATCTGATACCAGGAATACAATAAAAAATTCTACTCCTGTAACTGAAAAGTCAAGTGAGAAAAATGTTTCTAAAAGCCAGCTCTCTTCAAATAAAACCACAAATCTCAACAGTGCAAGTAGTAGCAAAACTTCAGTCTCAACCCCAATCAGTGGATCTAAAACAAATTCTCAACCTTTAGCAACTACTCCAAAAGCATCCCCAAGTGTAATTATTTCTGGAAAGAATGCTCCAACTGTTATTACTTCTGTAAAAAGTAGTTTAGCGAAGCCTTCCTCGACAACTGGTAGCACGTCTGCTGTTGCTTTAGGTACACGCTCAGCTACGAAAGTTGCTACTTCAAGCCCAGTTTCAGCCACTGTCGCTCCTTCTCCACAGCCAAAAGTAACAGAAAGTGTGACAACTAAAGTCAAAGCCGAGAAAAAACCTCCAGCTGGAGTCTTCGAACCATCTGCTAAAGTAGGTGGGGCTGAAGCTTTAGAAAAGATCATAAAAACTCCTGAAATACCTGTAAAATGTGTCGAAGAGGTTATATCAAAAATAAAGGAAAGGCTTCAACCTGTGAAAGATCTGGAAGGGATAAGTGTAGAAGTTGAACCGGTTCAGATAAAACGTAATCTAGACGAAGATGATATTAACAAACCGAAAAAGAGGCGAGTTATTTGCGATGTTAGAGTTCATGTGACGAAACTATCCCAATCTGATTTTCCATTACAGGATGTTTTAACCACAATGGGCAAACACAGATTGAAAATGAAAAGAAAAAAGTCCATAAATAGGACGGGTTTTCCAGTGAAAAAGAAGAAGAAGAAGAAACTCCTGTTAGAACATCCTGGAGAGCAGAGGGTTTCATCTTCCCCACCAGTTCTCGAAGATCAAACCAAACTATCTATTGTTACTTCTGTTAATGATTCAACTCCAGCTCTATCTCCTGTTGCTAAACAAGAAGCCCAGAAAGTAAAAGATGAACCAAAAGCTGATATTATCGATCCTAAATTATTAAATCCTATCTGCATTATAACTCCTGTGCAAGAGTTGGTGAAAGAAGAGAGTAAGAGTTGTCAGCCGAGTCCGTGCTCTATCGATATTAAAATTCAAGAAGAAAAATTTGAAGTTCCAGTATTTGAAGATAAACCTGTTGCTGATAGCATTACAGTTTCTGAGACCATTGAAAAAGAAAATGATACAAAAGAACATGAAGAAATAGCTGTTGAAAAAACCGAACCAATTGAAAAAACTAAAACCGAAAGCATTACTTCTGAAGAAAAATTGGAATTGAAACCTTCCAATAAGAGAACGATGGAGCTAAGATCAAAAACAGTTGCTAGCGAAAGAAGGAAACGGAAAAGTACTACGGAAGAACCAGAAAACGAACAAACTGAAGTTGCTATATCTTCTACTTCGGAAATCAAAACATCAATTTCTAAGCGATTGAGGCGACACAAGGAAGAACAGGACGACAGGTAGGTTCCAATATCTGAATTTAAATATAATTTAAATTTTCTATCTATTTCCTTATGTTGCTTTAAATATTTATCAATAGTATTTATTTATTTATTTATAATATTTATTTTAGTGATGCTGATTCGGTGAAACTCCGGAGAAAACACCCTCCAAGATGGAAGAAAAAGTATTTACCTGCTGGGCTTTTGTCTGATTACTTCAAAGAGGACGAGTAAGTTTTATTTATAAATTTTTAATATTACCTCGTCTGATGTAACTTGTTAATTAATGTTTATTTTGATTATTTAGGCCTAGGAAACCAAGCACGAGTGATCCTATTAAATTTCGTACGACGTACAATCGTGCTGAGCACGAATTTGGGCTTTTACCTCCACCCGCTTACTGTTCGAAATGGGTAAGGCAGAGAAAGATCCACTTCCAACTTCCTTACGATCTTTGGTGGCTACATATGAATAATCAACTTCCTGGTAGAGATTCCGTTCCATCCTGGAACTACAAGAAAATAAGGACTAGTAAGTTTGTTTATAATTATAAATATTTAAGTTTAAATCTGAGATTCGATTTGTTTCTCTGATTGATATTCTTGACACATAATTAGCGCAATACAATTTTGCTGTGTTGGTGTCTTAGCAAAATACAACCTGACCTTTGTTTGTTCCTCATTCAATCTTAGTGTGTTTTACTTATGTGTCCTTATGTTTGAATTAGTGTATTGTGAAGTGGACACATGACGTGTACTGCTGAACTTATGATTTTGGGGAGGCATAATAAACTAGTCCTCTTACGACAAATAAATAAATGAATAATGAAATTAAAATAAATCAGCATGTTAAAATTAAAATTTGTTACCTTATCAAGTGAAATATCAGTTTTATTGATTGATTAATCCATTAATGATGTTATTCTATTTTAATAATATTTGTGAATGGTCTTACAAACCACTCTGTGATCAAGGTTGTGACAATTTCTAAATTAATATTTATTTATTTTATTATTTTTTTTTTTAAATGTTGGAGTTGCCTAATAATTTTGTAAGTAGTAGTACCTTTTAGATGGAACTTACATACATATAAATTAAAATTTAAAAAACATCATTATTTAATTAATTTTTTAATGTAAAATGAAATTAATGTTTTGACAAATAAAGTGAAATAATTTTTTTTTTCTTCAATGTAGAAGAATTTAAAAATGTATCTTAGCTGTTAATTTTATTTTATAATAAAAAGTCTCCTTGTTTTGGCATTTTTTATTAGCTATCTCTGAGCAGTAAAAGTAATAAATTTTTAATGGTGTAGAGATGGTTGACCGGGGTTATAATATGATAAGGAGTTGGGCGGGGGTTCTTCCCCCCCCTTCTCATAATTAATTTTTATTAATCGAAAATTGCCTGTCATAAATATTTTTCCTATCCCATCCATTGCATATTTTATTATACGTTTATTATATCTGAGATATAATTATATATTGTTTAGTATAATGAGGCAGTTAGATCATGTTGCCTTCTATGATCATTATAAAGTCCTTTATTCGGCTGTTACCTAACAATTTTGTTTACTTGACAATATATTTAAAAATATTTTTCTTTTCAGATGTTTATTTTGATGTAAAACCAACGTTGAGCTACGAAGCTCAATCTTGTAGTTGCAAGCCTTCCTCTGGTTGTGGGGAAGAGTGCATCAACCGCATGGTCCTTGCGGAATGCTCACCACAGTTCTGTCCCTGCAAGGAAAATTGTTCGAATCAAAAAATTCAAAAGCACGAATGGGCTCCTGGTTTGATGAAGTTTATGACAAAAGATAAGGTAATGTTTCTATTATATTTAATTGTTTATATAGATTTATTTTTTCTAAAACACTGTTTGCTGATTTTTTTTTTTTTAATTATATTTTAGGGATGGGGAGTCAAAACGAAATACGGTATCAAGAAGGATGATTTTATTCTTGAATATGTTGGGGAAGTTGTCTCTGAACGGGAATTTAAAGCAAGAATGGCATCTCGCTACCAAAATGATACTCATCATTATTGTCTGAATCTTGATTCAGGTCTTGTTATCGATGGGCATAGAATGGGAGGAGAAGGTAGAAAATTTTCTTTTCTTTCAATATTATTGTTCTTGTTTGTTTTTATTATTTTTCATTTATTAAGATATGTGTAATGAACTGAATCATTCTTTATTGAAAATAAATAAATAAGTAAAATAACAACGTTTATTTACTTTTAATAGAATTGATGTATTATATTTATACAATGGTCATTCAAATATAAATGAGAATGTTGAGTTGGTAGTCCTGCAAGGGAGTGGAATGACGCATTAAAAATCAGATCCCAGTCTCGGAACAAAATATGGCAAAAATTGAATATCAGTAATATTCATCAGTAACATCTCTTTCATTCGTATTTGTTGGGAAGGGGAGAGAGAGAGGGGACTAGTCTGGCAAGTGTACCTGTAGTCCTTTTTTTCTGAACCATTGCGGCCACCTTGAGGTTGCCGCTTCGTACTTTTGAGAATGGGATCACACAATTTCACAACTGAGTACTTTAGGACTCATGAACAACCTGTTTAGACCATCATATCATCTACTGATGTTTCTATACTTTTCATTTAACTTGTCAATATGTTCCGAGAAATACTTTAGCACACATCATACAGTCCACATTTTTCACCATGTGACTTTCAATTTGGGCCATTTAACGAGTGTTACACATTGCAAATCTGATGACTTAATCTGATTCACTCTCTACAAAATGAGTTCAAAGCGCACCTGAAGAAGTTTTCACTTCAAAAAAACTTATTTATATTTGAATGTATCTTGTATTTGATTTTATTGGTGTGTTAATTTCTAAATTACTTAAATTGTTTGCATTTTTTGTTACTTGCAACTGTCCTTTGTCTTTTTCAATCATATATAAAATGTAAATTTTTATTTTCTTTATTTTAATAACTTTTTTAAAATTTAAATAGGTCGATTCGTGAACCACTCGTGCGAACCCAACTGTGAAATGCAAAAGTGGTGTGTGAATGGTTTGTTCAGAATGGCTCTTTTTGCTCTTCGTGACATAGACGCAAACGAAGAACTCTCTTATGACTACAACTTTGCTCTGTTTAATCCAGCCGAAGGACAGGTAATTTATTATAAATCTATTTATTCAATATAAATTTATTCAAATTTATAATTTTTTTATTGGGTAACTAATTGTATAATTTTTTTACAATTATAGCCATGTAAGTGTGGTTCTTCAAAGTGCCGTGGTGTAATTGGTGGAAAATGGCAACGTGTCGCTGTACAGAGATCTGGCACACCATCTGTGTCTGTGTCGGTAGTCACTGAAGAGAATAAACAACCTGGTCAAGTCGGACGTCCTAGGAAAAACAGCAATAGGAGAAAGACGACTGTTATCGACAAGAAACAAACCAAGCCTACTAAAGATACTAAGGTAAGGATTAGCATATATTATTTTACGTTATATATTATTTTATTTTTGTAATATTATTTATAAAAACAAACTTTAAAGTTATTATACAATGGTTTATTATTTCCAGTTATAAATAAAAAATATCTTGTCCCCTCATATGATAAAATGTGTTGGCGATATGTTAGCTAATATTGTACACGGTGGACCAGACCCCTTTACCGTCCATTTTCCCCTCCCCCACATCCCTATAAATTGCATATCGTTGTGTTCCTTGTAACTATTTATAAAAAAAAGCCAATGTTCCCACAAAAAAAGTGAACAAACGACCCTGACTACCCGACTGATATGGCCGACTGATGACTTTGACTTCAGTTAGTTTTTTGGTCACTGAGAATCAGTTTTTATTAATTTGGCTTAATTTCGTCATAGTTGGTCTTTTATTAAAGCTGGCTAGTCAGAGAATAATAAAACATGAAAAATTATTAAAAAATAATTGGTTTAGGCAACAGCTGACCTAAAAAAGCCTAAAAACGTTATTATAGCACTATAACTAAGCCATTTATGACACTGAATGGTGTGGTTGAGGCCTGTAGGCACCCACGCCAGTACCACTTAAATGCATTTTCTATGGAACTGCTTCAAACATTTTAAAAAGTAATCAGCGTTATAGAAAGAAAAATATATTCTCCGGATGTTTTATTTCAGAACATTTTGCTTTATTGTCGGCTGTTTAGTTAGAAAACGACACTTGATTTTCAACTTGAAATTTTTTTGTTAAAAAAATTGACTTTTATGGTGTTTTTTATTGCCTTAGCCAATTATTGTTTAATATTTCTTCATGTTTTATTATTCTCTGACTAGCCAGCTTTAATAAAAGACCAACTATGACGAAATTAAGCCAAATGCTGATTCTCTGTGACCAAAAAACTAACTAAAGTCAGAGTTGTCAGTCGCCCATGTTTGGACGCCATTTTGGAGCAGTTCGTTCACTTTTTTTTTGTGGGACATTGGCTTTTTTTTTAATAAATAGTTACAAGGAACACAATAATATGCAATTTATAGGGATGAGGGGAGAGGGAGGTTGCAGGGTAGGGGGTTCTAGCCCACAGAATATTGGTCGCATACATTTTTTTTTTATGTTTTGCTTTCTAGTAAATTAAATTATCTTTCAAATTTCCACTTGGCAAACTAAACCAAGATAAACATATTTCAAGAGAACATGTGCAGAATACTTTGAAATCAACCACACTTTTGTGTGGATCTAGCCAAGTGTGGTTTTAGTTTTAGTGGTCATAGCCAAAATTTAAGTACTACTATTAAGTTAAAATATCGCTTCATATTATATGAAAAACAATCATGTCCTCTTTACTACAAAATTTACAGATTGATTTATGTTAAGCATAAACATAACTTCACATAATAAGAAATACTTTATGATAAGCTACTAAAGCATTCATTTAACATGGTTTCTTTTTTCTTATTGTAGGCTTCTTCAAAGGAATCTTGCAGCGGGGCTAACGCTTTAGCTACAGTCGCAGCGAGGTTAAATCACTTAACTCCAGTAAAACCTTTATCTCATCAACAGAAAACTTTCGTCAGCGCCCACAGATGCTTCTTGATCAGGAACTTAGAAAAGGTAATTAATTTATTTTGATTAAATAATATCGTAGTTTATCAACCACTCTCTTTTTTTAATGGATAGTGTTTTTGTGATTTTGTTTGTAATAGTTTTTCTTTTTTTCTTTCCTTAAGGTCAGAGTTTTGCGTGAACGGCTAAAACAAGTCGTGAAAGGAGGAGTTGCGCCAAGTGTTGTCGCTCCAAGCCCCGCAGCTCCTCCTCAGCAACAGGTTTTCCTGACTCAGCTGACGGCTCTGTCTTGCCCTCGTTCTATCAGAACAAGGCGGCTGGCTCAAGCTCAAGAGAATCCGGAGATGACCAAAACTGCTCGCTTGGCCTGTATATTCAAGAATCTCTACACTGAAGTGGTCAATGCTAAAGGTACGATTTATTTATACCATATGAATACTAGTTGAGAATATATTTTGTATAAAAGATATTGATCATTTTTTTATTATTTTTCTAAAATAATGAATTATCCTTGTGTATATCATTGGTGTTCTGTAATAATGTTGAACTTTACAATTTACTACTTTTCCTGGAGGAATATTTTATATGATATTTTAGAAAGACTAGGAGGGCACCCCCTCTTTGCTTAACGGTGGACCTACTCCCCATTTTACAAATAATACAACTGTTCATTTAATTGTACTACTTGTTGATCAAATTCTTTTAATCGTTGCTTAAATCGTATAACTTTACTTACATGTATTCTGTAGTTCAGATTGTATTATCTTTATATGTAAAATTCTATATATATATATATATATATATAAATGAATGTATGTCTGTCTGTCTATTTGTCCTTAGTGCATTACTAAACCATTCAACCGATCGCCATGAAACTTTAGGAAGGTGTTCCGTACACTCCTGGGAAGGTTTCTGGCATAGTACTTCTGTCTTAAGATAATTTCATATATGTAAAAAAAATAAAAATGTAAATGTTTTTCTGTTCAAAGCCGCAAAAAAATTTGTCTCTATAAACTGTAGCGCCAAAACGACTTTACCAATTTTAACGAAACTTGGCTAAAGTCTTCCCCTTGAAACTCTTCTAATTTATGTGTATAACATACTTTCCTGAAAACAAGCTGGAAAATGTTACGATGAATTCAATATTCTACTTGCCGATAACTAAAAAAGTACACAATTTTTGACTGATAATACCCATATTTATATGAAAGATTGCTGACAAAATAAATAAAAAAATCATTGAAATCGGACACTTCGTTGCACAGTTATAGAGTTTTAAACATTTACTGCTTTCTCTTTAGAAAAGGCCATTTCCTTTTGTTTCCTCACTACCGAAGGTCGGCAAGCATTTTTTTTTTTTTTTTATTTTTTTTATTGATTAATTGAAAATTTTATAATTACTACAGTAATTGAAATTATCATTTGAAGAAGTTATATGATTCTCCTTATGTAGGCCAATACTATTATACGTTTTTTAAATTAATTTTTTTATTTAGTTTTATAAGTTCAACTCAGAATGTTTCTGATGAATATGAATGACGGCGTATTCACTCAGATGATTATGAATGTTCAATTTGAATCATGAGAAAAAAAATCATTAGAATTAGTTTAAATTGAAGCCATTTTACAGACAAATTTGTTTCCCAACTTTTTAAAAATGACAGATGTCCTTTGCTACTAATCTACTCATATGTGCTTTCTATTTTATTTCTTTTTCATTTTGCCAGGCTAAGCCACAGTAGCGCGTGGCGGGGTAAAGCTAGTTTTTTATAAACATTAAATAAACTGAACAAAACCACAGTTCGGACAAATTTTCAATTTCTTTATAAATCTAAATTATAAATAGCGCCTTATTGAATGAATTAAAACGTGTTTATTATCATGAAGCAAATAAATTAGAAAACTTATTATTCCTACAAATGTCACAACACATAGACAAAAGAAAATTTCTTCTGTCGAGGTCTGTTTGAGATCTTTCTACAAAATATGATCCATTTTATATCCTATAAATTAATGAGCAATAATATTTTTATATTATTATCAATAAAATTTTTAAACTGTTTCCCATTTCTCCACCCTTCAAAAATAAAAAATATTTTTTTTTTTAATAATCATTAAAAGTTTAGCTACTTGACCAACAAGCAATAAAACAATAAGCAATAATGATAAGTATTAAATACATAACTAGATAAAATACTCTTTATAATAAATAATAAACAATATAACAATAAGAAACCAATACTATCCATAATAATAAGGCATTCCATTAATCAGTAAAAAATTAACTAGCTGGGCCTTTTGTAATGTGGCTTGCTGTGTGTAATTACTTAGGGCCTTCCAATTAGCACCTCTCAATATACTAAATAATTCCTCTGGTGAACATTTCTGCCGACCAAAACATTTTTCCCTAATCTCACTGTAGATATTGTCAATTTATACTATTATATAATTATAGTTATTTTTATAGCCAATTTGTTTTCTTTTTAATAATTCCAATTTGTCAAGTATGGGGGCTAAATAAGTATGTAAGTTGATTGGAAAATAAAATAAAAAGTATAAGATTGAATTTGAAATAATATTTAACATAAGGTATAATGTTATGTTCTATCTTATTCTTCTAATACAATAAGTAATATATAAAATAATACAAATACCCAATGAAAATGGGACATACACATTTTAAAGTTTCTTAAGGGTGCCAAAAACCTTGGGGTTTTACCCTATGCTTAATTTGTAATTGATTACGATAATTAAATTAATGCAATCTTGGAACAGATGTTCATTTCCTAATTTTATTTTCTCGTTTTAGATGAGAAAGGAGAATCTCTATCAACACCTTTTATGAACCTACCTTCGAAGAAAAAATGTGCCGATTATTATACAAGGATTCAGAATCCTCTTGATCTTACAATGATAGAATCAAATATCACAACGGGTGTTTATAAAACTGTCGAATCCTTCGATGACGACATGATGACGGTGTTCAAGAATGCTGTACGATGGCATGGCAGGACGACAGATCTAGGCATCGCTGCTGCGAGGTTGAGAAAAATCTACAATCTTGCTAAACTTGGCATTTTAGAAAGTATCGAGGAAATACTTGGAACATCACCTCCTCCTTCTTTTATTCCCCCGAAACAAGATCCTGGTAAGTGGGATTTTAATATTGTATAATTTAAAAAAAAAATTTTAAAGATTATTAATTAATTTGGAAATTCATGATAAATAGTTATATTAATTATTAAGTTGAACGATTGTTTACTATTAATAATGTTTCTATTGCAGGAGCAGAAGAAGAGGATGTGATTCGATGTATTTGCGGCCTGTTCAGAGACGAAGGTGTAATGATACAATGTGAGCGATGTCTAGTTTGGCAGCATTCCTGGTGTGTGCGAGCGAACACCTCTGCTGACGAATATTTGTGCGAGAGGTGCTCGCCACGGTCTGTGGATCTGGAAGTGCCAGCCCAGCCCGAACATCAGGACAATAATTCCGATCAAGTTAATTATATTACTCTTCTGAGAGGGGAACTTCAGCTCAAGCAGGGTAAGTTATATTTAATTAAAACTCAATTTGAGGATTTAATAATTTATTATAGTTTATTTTCTTGTTATTTTGTATTTTGTAACTTTTTCAGGTGATACTGTTTACGTCTTACGGGACATTGTCAATGAAGAAAGTAAAACTGTTCCTAAAGAAAAACATACATATAAGACCATAAAGAATTGGAAATATACTGATTGTGATATATTCCGAATCGAAAGGCTATGGAAGGACAGCAAGTATGTAAACGTTATAGAATTGTTTTTTTGTTTTAAAATTAAAATTGAATAAATATTTGGAAGATAAGTAGTAGGGATATGCTGTTGTTCATATCGTTTATTAATTTTGCCGATGTTTCTTCCCAACCATGTGGGTCAAAATCTATGTTAAAAATTAAAAATACAAAAAATTATATCAGAAAAATGAAATACAGAAAATATCTAAATAAGAAAAGATAAAAAATGGAACGTACCCATGACATAATGATAAATATATATATATATTAAAATATAACGATCAAAATGTCTTACCACTCAAGTGGAAAGCAAATGGGTGTTCATGAATTTTTAATACCTAATTAAATAGACAGAGTTTTCTGATCTCCAGATTGAAAACACCCTAAATCCAAGAATTTTTGTACATAAAAAGTTGTAGGTACGATGAAATAAAGCTATTCCCAAAGTTTTACGCTGATGTTAATAATTTAATAAAAAGGGGTCTGTACCACAGACTATTAATTAAATTTTTTTTTTTTTTAATGATGAACTAGATACTTGGGTTGAAATGTTGGTTAACTTAGTGAATAACATAAATTACTTCATTTCCCGATTATTTGTCATCTGAATAATTTTAACAGTAGACTATATTTCTATCTCAAAATTAATAATTATTTAGTTAGCTTTTCTACAATATCAGGTTATAATGTTTTTATTTTGATTTATTTTAGAGGAGACAGGTTTGCTTTCGGCCATCATTACCTGAGACCGCACGAAACTTTCCACGAGCCGACAAGAAGGTTCTTCCCTAACGAACTCATGAGAGTACCTCTGTACGAGGTCGTACCCGTCGACTTGGTCATGGGGCACTGTACAGTACTTGATCTCAACACCTATTGCAAAGGCAGGCCGATCGGATCTTCTCCTCAGCATACTTACATTTGTGAATATCGTGTCGACAAAAATGCCAGGATATTTGCCAAAATTCCGAAGCCCAAGTCGTCGAATATCTGTACTAAGAGCTACGCCTTCGAAACCTATGACGTGAGACTGAAACCTCAAAGGAACTATGCTGTAAGTTAACATTTAATATTTTTGGATAAGTTTACTTTTCAATTATTTAAATTTTGGAATAAAACAAAATATTTTTTTTCTTATTACCTCTGTTTGTTCTGTAGCCTCATGGGCTGGTGAAAGGTGTTAATCTCAATCGTGGGCGTGGATGTAAAAGTGCCAACAATGAAGAGGCTAGTGCATCGACCCTTCCTCAACTACCTGAAGAATCTCCACAAGAAGAAGACCCTGTAGCTAAGGTATGCAAAACTTTCCATTTGATGTGTTAAGCTAAATTCAGTACCTGCGAAAATATTTTTTTTTGTATTTTTTATTGAAATTTACAACTGTATTAAATGATAAATACAAGTAAACATGAAACAAGTAACATGAAGAGAAACTACCCATTGGTAGCACTCCAATTATATTTCTAAATTAGAAAATCCCGAGGCCATCTTCTGTTCAGACGCCTCTGAGGGTTATCAGGAATAGAAGAGGAAGCAAGGTTGGAAACAAGAGGGTTCGGATGGTTCAGAAGTTAATTTTGGAAGAATAGATATCTGGATTGAGCTAAATCGGAAACATATGGTACATTGAGGTCGTTATGGATGATTTTATTTGTGGCAAAGTAGATAGCATTGAGGATTTTATTAAGGATTGGATACGAGAGGAATTTGATGGTTTAGTAATGCCCCAAAGCTCGATCCCATAAATCCAAATAGGCCATATTATAATAATATATGTCCTTTGTAAATAGTTGGAAGTTAAGAGTGTTTCTATTGCAAATAGTTGAAAGTTTAGAGCTTTGTATAGTAAGTGCTGCAGTAGTTGAAAACTTCATGCGTTTTCTAGTCATTTCAGTCTGGTATGGGGGTTCCAAGTGAGTCGTTTGTCCAGGTGGAGGAGTCCCAGGTATCAGATTTGTTCAGCAGGGATAAGTGGGGTATTGTTAAAGGATACTGTAGGACAGGAAGTCATAGGTTTACGTTGAAGAGTAAAGGTAATTTGATGGGATTTATTGGAATTTATTTTAACCCTTCAGATTTGACACCATTTTTCAAGACTTGTGATGTGGTGATTGAAGAGTTCGGGATGCAATAGATGGATCGTTATTTACTGATAGGATACACATGTCATCGGCATAGGTGGTGATGACAGTGTTGGAGCTAAAATAGAGAATTAAAGTTCTGATGGGGAAAATTTATTGAAGTACTGTTGATGACCTGACTTCAACTGCCCATTGGATTGTTTTTTCCCACTCTCATATTTTCTGCTTAAAACTTAATATACAAAGTTGTTTCTCTTCAATTTTAATGTGCCTAAAAGATTTCAATCACTCAAATCTTCACAGCACTGTTGTTGATTTAGAATGAAGTGCTTTTCAAGGTTGAATATATTTTCTCACAGAAAAAAAAAGCAATAAACTTTTGAAGAAATTATAAATTTAATATTAATATGGTAAACAATATGGAGACACCTTAGAATTTAAAAAAAGGACGTTCAGTACTAACTCAAAAATGTTAGGCAAGTAGCTTAATGACTCTTAATCAATGAGTGAATAACTTTTTACAAGTACTTATTTTTCAGAGGTCAGTTAATTCCAAGTATAACAGACGATTTTATATCATGGGCGAGTTGTAATCACACGTTTTTTGATTTATTTCTCTGAATTTAATCACTTACTCTTTAATACTTTTCTAGATATTAAAGAATAGTTTTCTATTATTTGAAATAGCAGTTTACAGTTAAACAGAATATTTAATTATTAATTTTTTTTTTTCACCTGCCGATTAGACAATACAGGTGTTTACAGCAATGGAATGTTACTCATGTCTGTGTAAAAACTCCCTGCTGCAAGTATGTTCCATTTTGAGCTGTGCACACAGCCTGTAACTTTTATCCTTCTCAATTTGGCTATCGCTCTCTTTTCTTCCATCCGTCTCTAAAATTTTTAAAATGTGGATGATTTTCCTTATTAAAGAACTGGGAGAACTCGTTCTCTATTAAAACATAGAGCAGTTTCCCTCATCAGTTTGGCTCTGAGTGTCTCATAAGCTGTAGGCAACGGTAATGTGTTCAGCAGTGTCTGGTAGTTCACAACTGGGACATAGGAGATTGATATTCTTCTCATGTGTACTTAGATTCGCATAAAAGTCCTTAGCACTCTTGCTCAATCTCCACTGGGTTTAGTCCTAGTGACGCGGTTGAGAGAGGAGTGCAGGGAACTCCTGGAGTCATACTTCTCCCTCCACAGTTGGAGGGACAAGTCTGGTTTGGAGTTCTCTTGCCAAATTGTAAATATTGTATATATGTTATATACAATATATAATAGGTGTGTATGTGTTCTTTTTATTTATTTATTTTTAGGTTATTTTATTCTTATTTATTGTATATATATTATTTTTCTGTATAATTTATTTTATTTATTGTACATAGAGTGTGAATGTGATCTGTGAACTCTATTATAAATGTCCTAGAGACAGATTGTAATATTTTTCAATGAATAAGTTAAAAAAAAAATAAATCCTATGTCTTGTTAGCTTCTAACCACGAATCATTAGTGGAAAATATTTTTGCATTTTTATTTTTTATTATGTAATATGTAAATATTTTTATTTTATTTTATTTTTTTTCAGAGAGAGAAGCAGAAGACGCGATTGAACGGTTTCCTCCTAAAGCTGCTGGCCAGGCTTCCGTCTAAAGCCCCCTTGGACCTCTCCTACCTTCTCGAGCCTGGCCGTAGGCAGCGGAAGAAGCCTCCGTTGTTGGCGTCATGAGATTGGCTTCTCCTATAACACGTTGTTACCACCCAATGCAGTTAATTAAAACTTAAAAATGTACATATTTAAACACTATGTAATCTCCTTCCCAGTGAACTCCACTTTTTTTTTTTTAATTGTTTCATTGTAATTAGTATTTATTGATATGTATATTGTACATAAAAAAAGAAAAAACAAAAAAAGAGGAGAAAAGTTGTTGATATTTATAAGGTACAAATCATTTGTGTCATGTTTTATATATTTATTATTATTTTGTAGGTATTTTTCTTAATTAAGATTATGAGTGTTTCATGTAATTATTTTTAATTTGGTCAAACCAATATTATTATAATGTTGATCATAGAGCAACAAATTGTACATATTGTATTGCTAATTTCTTTCTTCGAGCTTAAATGTTTTAGTTCTGTTATTAATTCTCTTGTAGATAAAAATGTTGCTTTCAGTGTCTTCCGAAAGCATTATGAGAATTATTGATTATTAAATATTAAAAAAGTGTACATAATTTTTAATATATATAAATATATAAATATAATTTATATTTCTAAAGATTTAAAAAGTAACTATATTGTTTGAATTGTAAATTGTTAAGTCAAGTATTTTTTGTGGTTAATTATTTTAAAAGAGAAAAATTGTTATAATTGTGTAAATAAATATTTTTCATACATATTATATTCTTAATCTTTGTTTTGTTCGCTCATCTTATCATCGTTTAGATGAGAGAAATGTAATCATGTATTATCGATATATTTTTCCATCAATTAAGAAGTTAATTAAAATATGGAATAAAGTAACAGAATTAAAAAGTACACCATGCGCACGAAACGAGTACAAAATGTTACATTTGTATGTTAAATTATTTTAAAAATGTATGGTTAACCTAGTGCAGAATGTTTTTAAAAAGAATATGTGAAAAGTTTTGTGTTTATTTTTATGAAGTCGTTCTTTGACGCTGATGGTAACGGCAGTTATTTTCTGCTATTGTTAGGCTGTAGTTAAGAACCTTTTGAAGATCGGTTGTAATGTCATTAATGCTAGTCATAGCCCGTTTTATAGATTTTTGTGATTAAATTGCATATGTTAAATGTTGTCATATTAACTTTCCACTATAAAACAAAAAAAAAGTTACTTTTACCTTATTAAGTTTAAAAAAAACTTCTTTTCAAGGTTGATACTTATAGCTACTTTATTCTGCCTTCGTTTTTTTATTCATTACTTTTTAAAATGTTATTTATATGAAGTGTACCACTATTTTCTTCTGACTCGTTGTTTCTGTGAAGTTTATCCATTAATGATTTTTTTTCAGTTCAAGATTATGTATTATGTTCATGACATAGGATAGTTACAGCGCTTCTAAATAGATCACACTCAACAGTCGGTAGGCTTCCTAACTGACTTTTATCTATTGTTATTTTAATAAGTTAATGTTATTCTCGCTCTCTTTTTTTTTTTTTTAATTTTACTGATTATCACGGATTATACAGATAATAATTGTACATATACAAACTCTTTTTCTTAATTATAAAAAAAGAATATATTTACGTAGTGAACCAGTGATCTATTCATCGATATATTATATATATATGTGCATTATCAATGTTATTTTTAACTGTATAAACATTAGAACATCAGGATTGTAAAGCTTTAATTCTGGCAGTAGTTTTAGATAAAATGTTAATTTAAAAAAGTTAATTTATAGATACTGTACAAGATTATCTCAAAACTGGGTTCCATCATAGCTTCTTAAAATTATGCTACTATTACTGTTAATGAAAATAGCTTTTGAATTTGAAAACAATCAATCTCAGCTATGTCTTTCTGTTTTATTTAAAATTACTATTTTGGAAATAGTTATAAATAATTTTACAATATAATTTATTACTACATTAGACTAAAATATTTTATTATAGATGTACAAAAATTACATGATTCCTGAGCACATTAGATCAGTGTGGATTCATTTTTTTTTTTTTTTTTTTTTTAATTTTTCAATATGAAATAACACTTTAGTCAAGTTTAATCAAGTGTAAGAATGCATTTTTGAGATCTATGTTTTTATTTATTTATTTTACCTGGTCGAACGTATCTATACTTATCTAATGTAATGTTACATTGTTTACAATTTACATTAAAATATTTACAGGTTTATTAGTTGATAATAGAGATTTAGTTAATTTATTTTTTAACACAATTTAAATAAATACTGATTACTTAATTTTTCTGTAGCTTCACATAACATACAGAATATATTACATATGTTACTTTGATAATTGCGTTTTTTCTTATTTGTCAAATTTTACCCTATTTCATGCCAATACAAGTGTAACATAAACAAATAAGTTTCTACTTGTAATGGGTTTAGCTAAAAGTGGTTACTGCCCAACATGCCACTCCCTGGAAGATACAAGGCACATTGCCTTCCAATGCAAGAGGTTTGATAAACGAAGGAGAATTAGTTCAGGTTCATAAGCTGTCGATGATAATATTAGTTATCGTGGCTTAAATACCCAATGTTCAAACTATCTTCCTTGAAAGTACCTTTGTTTTGGTTTATTTCAAATAATTAACTATGTCTCATTGTTAGGAGTTATGAAAAAAGGCTAAATATAACTTTTCATATTATTACTAATTAATTTTTAATTAGTTATCTTTTTGAAAAAATCAAATACATTTTTTTCGGTTAGAGGACTTGGTACCAAAAAAGGGCTGCCTTTGAAAATAAAGCATGGGTGGATGTGCTTTTGCCAAGCATAATTATTTTAAATATTAATTAATTCATTGAGTGTTAGAAACCATGACTTTTTCCTCACAATATAGTTCATAAATAATTATTAGTAATGGTGGGTTACTTTTGTATTAAGCTTAGAAAATTCCTTTTTCCTACACAACAAGAGATGCTTGTGAGGTCAGCTGTTATCAGTTGAGTACTTGCAATGAGGTTATTTTCTCACAGCTACGTAATAAATCTTGAAGAAGTCAAGTCAAGTCCATTCACCTTAACTTAGGGATGGAGATAAAGAAAATTACTTTTGATAATTTATTCCATTGAATGTTTATCTACATAGAATTTATTTCTAAAACCTACTATTGCAAATTAAAAAAAAAATTATATGAAATTTATTTATGATTATATAAATGTTTTATATATAACACAGCCAGCCTCTACAAAGTGGGTATCATTAATTAAAATAATTAATTAAGTGGGAAAACCTGACAGTTGAGCTTCATCCTGGCCTGATCTCGATACACAACCGTTGGCCTTGAAAATAGTGCTTTCCCAAAACAAAACCTTCATGGGTTGTAGTGGTACAGGGTAAATGTTTTAAGTTAACTTATAATCAAAACCTATCCCAAGCAGAGACATTTTGGTAAATAGAAAAAAAAAGTATATTATCGAATCTAAATTATTTAGTGAAAATTTAAAAGAAATATTAATTAAATAAATAACGATTTATCCTAACCTAAGTAATGAAGTACAGTTAAACTAAGGTTAACCAGTTTTGACAGTTCCAGTTACTACAAGCTTTTTTTAATAGTCCATTTATTATTTTTTTTTTACAGAAATAAGGAGTGTCTGAGCTTAGATTGCAGATATAATTTATCTTGACTGAATTAGCCTGATTTTCATATTAAAAATATATTGCACAATTATCATTTTTTAAATTTACGTTTCTGCAAAATTAATTGAAGAGGTCAGGGAAAAAAAAGAAAGAAACTCCAATTATTTCATTTTTTTTTTCCAGATAAAGCTGAATCGAATAGTGCGAACATTTCTGGACAAAAAGTCTAAACATATAATTTTTTTAATAGAAAAGAATATACAGTGAGAAAAAAAGGAATTTTAGTCAAGGAAGTGTCAGGAAAAATTGTCTCACTTCATTTTCTCTCAATATTAAAAAAATCAGTCTGTTTTTTATAAAATAGCTTTCTGGAAAGTTTTTTTTATAGTTATTTCTAAAGTATTATTAACTATAAAGGAAAAATATTGACTTGGAGATAGTGGTAATGGATTCTGAGAAATATTACTGTTCTTAAGTAAAACAACAAATGACACATAACTACAAATGCCAACTTAATTTTCTGATAAATTTGACCATGAAAAAAAAAAACACCAGTGATATACTGGACCGGTTCGAGAGAAGAATATCAAGAAACATTCTAGAATATATGAAGAAGGAACACAGTGCCTCAGGAAAAATTATAATTTGTATAATAAATACAAAGACCTGAATATCTCGGCCAACATCAGAATCCAAAGTATGAAATTTTTAGCTATTTAATGAGAATGGAATACAGCATGATGACAAAGAGACTTCACGAGTATATATCAAATGGAAAGAAAGATAGAGGACTTCAAGAATGAAGTCTACTTGTATAGGCAAGGGCTGCTGGAGAGATGGCATACTAAAGAAATATGGCAGCGGAGGAAAGTTAACAGAAGCATGCAATGGATTGAGACAAATGGAAGGCAGAGGTTGAAATAAAAAAAAAATTAGGAGCTGCTATGTGTGCCTCTTGAGCTAAGAATAGAAGAAATATATTTTGTGAACACAATTTTTTTTTGTGTTTAACAAAAAAAAATCTGATATTCCAGTTATTATATTTTTTCTCCTCTCAATTTTTTTTTTAAAATTTATTTATTGATTGAGTATTACAACAATTTGCCACTTAGTTATAGTGAGGTAGGATAACATTCACACTATATGTACAGAAAAATATAAAATAAATAGAAGCAAAATAACAATAAATAATAATCAAAAAGTTTATACAATAAATAAAATAAAATAACTTAAAAATAAGAAAATTAAAACAAAGCAAAAAACACATGCATGCATATATATACACTATTTACAATCAGGCGAGGAAACTCTGATGCAGGCTTCTTCCTTGCAAAGTATTAGCCCCTCCATTAAGTCTTGATTGGTGTAACATTACCTTAGGGAGTCCCACTTTATTTTTCTTGATATACTTTTTTTTTATTTATTCAATTAACTCAATTTCAAGAAAGAAAAAATGACTTGTACCTCTTGACTTGCGTGGCTACACTTTCAAGTAGACGGCTATGTCATTCGTTTTTTAAAATTTAAATTGCATCAATTACGTAAAAGTTTGTCGCAAAATAACAGTTTTTTTTTTCTTTAATTTGCAATTGATTCATATGGAATAAGAGCAAATCTTATACTTGAAATACTTTTAATTAATATATACAATAATCGATGTCTGAATATCTTGAATAAACACTTGTGGTTTAATTATATTTTAATATTGTCCACTTGTTATTTTGCTTTTAAAGGACTGATCAGTAACCTGATTTGCTAAGCATTTTTTTAAAACCATTCATGAAATATTACAACTGGCACTTACATAAGAGGAGTAAGCAGGAAAAAAACCAACAGTAACTTTTTTTAAATTGGTTTATTGAAATAAATTCATACTTCTTAACGTATTTTAGGAAGTTGGGAAATGAAAAAAAATCACATTCCTATCGAATTTATTGACATCCCTATTGATTTGAAAAAATAAACTTTTTTCTCTGAATGCATTTATACTAAAAACCAGAAAATACACGATAAATGTCATCATGGCAGCAAAACGTTAAGAATATAGTCCGTGGTACAGACCCCTTTTTATCAAATTATTAACATCCACCTAAAACTTCATAAATATCTTCATCTCATCATAATCTACAACTATTTTATTTAGGAAAATTCTTGGTATTTGAAAGTTTTCAATCTGGAGATCAACAAACTTTGTCTATTTAATTTTATTTTATTATTTTTTTTTAAAATTTATTTATTGAATATTACAACAATCTGTCACTTGGACATTAGTTGTAGTGAGGTAGGATAACATTCACACTATATGTACAAAAAATATAAAATAAATAGTAGCAAAATAATAATGAATAATAATTAAAAAGTATCTACAATAAATAAAATAAAATAACTTAAAAATAAGAAAATTAAAACATATGCATTCCTAAATAGACTATTTACAATCAGGCGAGGGAACTTCGAGGCAGGCTTGTCCCTCCAACTGTGGAGGGAAAAGCTGAACTCCAGGAGAACACTGCGCTACTCTCTCAACCGCATCACTTTTACTAAAGCTAGCGGAGATTGATCGTGAGCACTTAAGCCACATACAATCATATCTTGAGTGGAGAATCTAGCCATTGCCAGAACTTCAAGATATAAAATCTACAAAAGGTCATGAAGCCACTGCCGTTTTAACCTTCTTGGAGGATTATAGAGATGGGTGGTGCTTGATAGGGATTGTGCAAGAGGACTTCGATGATACTTAAGGTTCTGGTGAAATTTGGAGAATTTTTCTGGGATAAGGTCTAAGATTAATGGGATGTTGAGGTCATGATGTAGGATTACATAGAAAGGAGCATCAACTATTGTTCGGAGGACTTTTGACTGGAAGGATTGGATGCATTTGATGTTACAAAATTTTGCTGTTCCCCACAGTTCTAGTCCGTAAGTCCAAATAGGTTTCAGTATTGTCTTGTAGATCAGTAGCTTCAGAAATAAAAATAAAATAATACAGTCGATTCCTCATACATGGGACTGCAGCCTTATTTAGGACGAAATCGCTGTATTTTTGGAACTCTGTAAAATGGCTACATTGCGCAAATAAAACTTGAGCATTGTTCATAAGCTTTGTTTAGTGTTCTTCTAGATTCTGAGAAGATAACCCGCTCGCCACTGTACCAGCCACGTGTTAACCGGTCTGAAATGTGACCTCGAATTTTGGTGATTTTTTAAAAAAAAAAGAAGTCTGTGGAAGGAGGCGGAAAGGTGATAGAGTTTTTTGGTTCTAACAGTTGATTTATATTTGCGTGCGGGTAACCAAAGATTTTTAACCAGGTAAGATTTTGCCAAAATATATTTCTTTTTTTTTCAAAAATGTTACCAATTACCCCGAAGATGAGAGATGTATCCGAAGTTTGGGTTAATGTTCCATGTTTGATCATTTTTTGGAAATTAAAAATTATCTCAGCTATAGGTACTTGACTGTAAGTAACTGAAAATCGGATTTATTTCCATAATCTGTTATTTATATTAAACGGTCATAAACCGAACTAAATGATAATCGATTAATTTTCCAATAACTGACTTCTCTAAATAAAAAAAAAAAAAGTCTTTTACGAATCCTTATTTACAAAAAACGGTTAGCCTCAGCATTTGTAAATAGTGCTAATTTTGAAGGCTTGGGTCAATAACCAAAAATTAAGAAATGGAAAAAATATGATAGATACAAGTGTTTTTCAGATGACCTGATTCTCACCCCTTGAATTGCAGAAATAGCGAGGTAGGAGTATCGAGAAAAAAAAAAAAGATCCGTTCAGAAAATGATCTGTTTTTCAAAAATACATGCAAAATTCTGCGATTCAAATCACAGAAAAAAGTGTAATATTTGTTTGCACGGAATTAGAGGGTGCTTATTGGTAGGAATTAGGAGGCTGCGAATAACGAATAAAATTATTGCTTTTTTAGGTTAAATAATAAATATTTATTAGTTGGCCCGTGCGAAAAATTCGCAGAAAATTTTGTTTAGTGAAGAAATAGCAAAACAATATGGAAATAAGTAGTTCCTATGTATTATGCAAGGAAGGAATTAATAATTTTTCCTTAGTCGATTACAATATTCCATTAAACACAATAGAACAAAATATTTGTATAAATTGCTTGCCTAGGTCCTATTTCAAACGGTACGGGAAAGATAATAAAAGTAATATAAACAAAATAATACCCCGATCATGAGATATTCTAAATTATTAAAAAAAATAAATGTAAGAACAACCATATGTCTTTAAGAAATAATAACTTTAATTCATCGGCCAGGAAAAAAAATGTAGAAGACTATTCTACTCCTAAATGCAAGATCTTTAAATAGGAAGACATTATTATTAAGTATATCAAAACTAATGGACTGTATCTTTGTTAATAATTGTCCGATTTTTTTTTTTGTTTTGTATGTAATTTAGTAATCTTTCTCATTATCATGGGTGCAATCGAGAAAGAATGCATACTTTTTGAGTTATTCACAAATAAAGTTTCTTTTTCTAAATAACTTTTTTTCCAAAAATTTCGGGAGGATAGGACTATTTTTTGCATGTGAAGGAGAAGAATATCTTCAAAATGAGTGGTTAATCATTGGATTAGATGAAGAATTGACGAAGTTATGGCGTACCGTAAAAAACACCTTTTAGAAATAATATATAGGATATGATGATATTAAATTTTAAATACTTTATTTAAAATACTGTTGACTTTTATTTGTAGGGGGGGGGGGAGAGGGTTGAGATAATAGGGTCTGTAAAATTAAGCCTCCACATCGTCCGGGAAGTTAATCTTCAAAATAATAGCCAATTATTATTTTGAAGAAAAAAAAATTACCTTGAAGAAATAATATATAAAGATTAAAAATATATAAATATTAAAAAAAAATATTTCATCTAATTTTTATTTTTTATTAATAATAAATATCAGCGAAGTTATGGCGTTCTGACAAAAAAAACATAAAAAAACACGTTTTAGAAATAATATATAAGATATGATGATATTAAAATTTTAATACTTTACTTAAAATACTGTTGACTTTTATTTGTAAGGGGGGGGGGGAGGGTTGAGGTAATAGGGTCTGCAAAATTAAGCTTACACATCTTCGGGGAAGTTAATTTTCAAAATAGCCAAACCGATTAACGAAGTTATGGTTTAAAAAAAATTAAAAATATATAAATATTTAAAACAAATTTTCATCTAATTTTTATTTTTTATTAATAATAAATATTTTTTTAAGAGCATGGATAAAGGTATGCCGCCTCTATTAAGGAAATGTGACAGCTACATCTGGGATTGTTTGAATTGTATTTTTAGATTAAGATAGTCCCGTACCGATAAGTGCTTTCAGTCGTGAAGAAGGCTTCTTAGAGGCTGCGTCTATTGAGATATTGTATTGTATATCTCTACTGATATATTGTAACGTGTATCTACTGAGATATCGTAGCTTATTGAGCGATTGTAGCGTACCGTAGAGAGATAGAGAGCCTGTGTTTATAGATACGCCACGAGCGGAAGGCTATTTATCCAGAGAGCAGTGAACGGCAGAGCAGAAGAGAGCAGAGATGGAGAACACCGCGGTGGCGAAGGTTGGGGCTATGTTGGCCCTGGGTGGCACAGCCCTGGCATTCACTCTGCTGCCTCTGATCGCGGCCCGGCGCTGCTCCTGGGGCACCCAGCCTCTGCTGCGCTTCGGGGGCGGAGTCCTCTTGGCCACCACCTTCCTCCACCTCCTTCCAGAACTGAGGGAGGGTCTGGAGAACAGCGAGCTCGGGGAGCTTCCAGAAATACTCCCGGAACTACTGATGTGCCTAGGGTTCTTCCTGATGTACTTCGTAGAGGAGCTGGCACACATCATGCTGGGGGCCGAACACCACGACCCCAACTCGGAGAAGAGAAGGCTCTGCAACGACCAGTAAGTACAGATCAAGTATATCTTAACTTAATAATCTAAGACGTTGTGAGTCCCGGAATTTAGGGGACTTATCTCAGGAATTAAAATGAAATGTTTACTTTATTGAATCATATTGAAGATAATAATTAGTAACAAGAAACTACAGAAACAAGTTAGATATAATTATTTTATGAAAAGAGAGAATTCCACCACTAAGTTCTGATTTAGAGATGTATCGGTCTATATACTTATAAAATTTATTTTGAAAATAGTGCTCAGTTATTAGTAAAAAAAAAAAAAAAAAAAAAAAAAAAAAAATACGGGTATTATTTTTATTTCTGTTTCATTTCACCAATTTCCCTATACAAGAAAAAAAAAAGAAAAAAAAAGTGAAACTATTTTGGAAAAAAAAATCTTGGGTAAGATATATAATTCTTATTATAAAATGAAAAATTAGTTCAGTTTAATATTTCTCACAGAATATTTTTTTTTATTTGAGTGGCTTCAAAATTATTTTTTGTTATAATTATTTTATCAAAAGAGAGAATTCCACCACTGTTTAGAGATGTAAATATCGAATTATATTTTATCCATTTTTTTCTTTAATACGTCTATATACTTATACAAGTTATTTTGAAAATAGTGCTTTTAGTAAAAAAAAAATACGGGAATTATTTTTATTTCTGTTTTAATTTCACCAATTTCCCTATACAATAAAAAAAAAAAAGAAAAAGAAAAAGTGAAACTATTTTGGAGAAAAAAATCTTGGATAAAAATTCTTCATTTTTATTATTAAAATTTATAAAATGAAGAATGAGTTCAGTTTAATATTTCTCTCACAATATTTTTTTATTTTTTTTATTTGAGTGGCTTCAAAATTATTTTTTGTGAATCTAAAACGGTGGCGAAGATTGAGGCTATGAACCTTTAAAATGAATTTTAATTAAAATGAAATGTTTACTTTATTAAATCATATTGAAGAAAATAATTAGTAACAAGAAACTACGGAAACAATTTAGATATAATTATTTTATGAAAAGAGAGAATTTCACCACTATTTATAGATGTAAATATCGAATTATATTTTATCCATTTTTTTTTAATACGTCTATATACTTCTAAAATTTATTTTGAAAATAGTGTTCAGTTAATAATAAAAAAAAAAAAAATACGGGCATTATTTTTATTTCTTTTTCATTTCACCAATTTCCCTATACAAGAAAAAAAAAAAAAAAAAGAAAAAGTGAAACTATTTTGGAGAAAACAAATCTGGGTAAGATATATAATTTTTATTATTAAAATTTATAAAATGAAGAATGAGTTCAGTTTAATATTTCCCTCAGAATATATATATTTTTTTATTTGAATGGCTTCAAAATTATTTTTTGTGAATCTGAAACTAGCCTAAAATCATTTTTTAGTCAATGTACGAAACTTTTTAATCGATATGTTAAATGATAGATATCAAGAAATTTGGTTATTATTATTATTAATTTTTTTTACACACATCAATCAATAAAGTTCAGTAAATTTGAACTGATTTTAGCCGACTTTGATTATTTTGATTTTTCTTAATAATGGTGCTGTTTTTTAATAACTACTTTAATGTTTATCATAGTTCAGTTATAAACTAAAGAAAGACTTTTTCTATTATTTCCTAATATTTTAACGTAGAGTCATAATATACAGATTCTTACCTCTCTCATCCAATAAAATAAATAAAAAATAGATAATGTATGTGTAAAAGTCTTGAAATGATGCTATTTTAATAGGAAAAAAATATCGAAATTCGTGAATATTTATCTTTCTGATTTTTGTTTCCTGAATTGATTGGTGTTTTTGAAAAACAAGTTAAAGAAAGATAAAAATCTACTAACAAATCATGAAACTAATAAACTCAAAATTTTCAAACTTAAAACCGTTAATACGATATTTATCTCCCCTTTTTCTGTAAAATTTAAACTAAAATAAATAGATTTTTTGGAAAGGCGTGTTAGTTAAAAAAATTGTATCAAAATGGATCATAACTTCTACTGAATGTCAGGGATTGAAACTTTTTTGAATTACTCTATTTTGACAGTTTCATTGGAACGTTTTAGGAAAAAGGTAACTTTTTTATAAAAAAAATGATTTGTTAGTAGATTTTTATCTTTCTTTAACTTGTTTTTCAAAAATACCAATCAATTCAGGAAACAAAAATCAGAAAGATAAATATTCACGAATTTTGATATTTTTTCATATTAAAATAGCATCAATACATGTCTTATTAAACATACAGTATATATTTTTTATTTATGTATTTATTTATTTTATTGGGTGAGGAAGGTAAGAATCTGTATATTATGACGCTACGTTAAAATATTATGAAATAATAGAAAAATTCCTTCTTTAGTTTATAACTGAATTGTGATAAACATTAAAGTAGTTAAAAAAAAATCAAAATAATAAAAGTTGGCTAAAATCGGTTCAAATTTACAAAACTTTATTGATTGGTGCGTGTAAAAAAAAATTAATATCCTAATTTCTTAGTACCTTTCATTTAACATATCAATTAAAAAGTTTCGTACTTTGACTAAAAATGATCCTAGGCTAGTTTAAGGTTCACAAAAAATAATTTTGAAGCCACTCCAATAAAAAAAAAAAATATTGAGAGAAATATTAAACTGAACTCATTCTTCATTATATAAATTTTCATAATAAAAATTATATATCTTACCCAAGATTTTTTTTCCAAAATATTTTCTCTTCTTTTTTTTTCTTGTATAGGGAAATTGGTGAAATGAAACAGAAATAAAAATAATGCCCGTATTTATTTTTTCTGCGAATAACTGAGCACTATTTTCAAAATAAATTTTATAAGTATATAAAAGTATTAAAAAAAAAAAGTAGATAAAATATAATTCGATAATTATATCTCTAAATCTGAATTTAATAGTGGTTGAATTCTCTCTTTTGTACAATAATTATTTCTAACTTGGTTCTGCAGTTTCTTTTTACTAATTATTATTTTCAATATTATTTATTATTTACTTTCTCTTTATAATTTTTCAAAGTTGATGAAGTGAAAACCTTCATATCTTACTGCAAGCGACCTTGCTCGAATGGTTCACGGATCTTTCTAGTTATACTTTCTATGTATACAATATCAAGGTGAACTGGTTAGATCTCAAATGCCAATTGTTATATATTGTTACAAGAAGACAATAACGAAAATTTAATAAAAGAATCATAGAAAATAAGGCCATATATGACAATGGTACTCAAGTCAATTTGGGTGTTCTAAGCGGAAATGGTGGAATTGTGTTCTGATTGATTTGTTCCGCTTAGAGGTAAATATACTTGTAATTATGGGAATTTAGATCCGAGGCAAAGAGAGAAAGAAATTTGAAATAACATGTTTTTACGGTTTTTAGTTTATATCTCAGAAACGGTTGTTCATAATTTAAAACAGTTAATAATTACAAAGGAAATAATTAAACAGTATTTAATTTTCTAAATGAACATGCTTACTATTTATTTTCGGATCTGTTATAGTTTAAGAAATATACGCTTCTCTAAATAGGAAAAATAAAAAAAATAATTCTTTTACTCGATCAATTTTTCGTCCTCAAAATAAAAATAAATCACTCATGCTTTACGGTTTAGAAATTAAAAAATAAATTTGGTACTGTGTACGTCTGACTGTCTGTACTCAAATTATCTGACGGGCATATTACCGTTGATTTTATGAAATTTTCTGAGATTTTGCAAATGGGTAGAGGATGATATTTGAACAAATATACGCATTTTTCTCCATCATATTATATATATATATATATATATATATATATATATATATATATACACCTTTTAAACATCACCTATCATTAGGCTTTGAGTTGGAGGTGTCAAGATTGGTGAACAATAAATCGATTAGAATTAAGTTTATTTAACTCCGTCCATTACAAAAATGTTTTCATAACGGATATGCTAACGTATAATAAATCTATACGTTATTGTGTTATATCGATGTATATAAACAGTTATACCTATAAAACAGGAGAGCATGCGGAACCTTATTTTTTTCCCTTCATAAATTAAAAAATCATTGATAAATTCATTTTATTAAGAAAAATCTTAAATTTTAATAACTTAACCAATTAAGTTATATGATAAGTTAAAATTATCATAATTTTATCAAATTAGTAAAAAATTATCGTTCCAATGATTTTTGTGATGGTATCAAGAGATAATGGGGGAAAAAAACCTAGGAGTGTCCCTATAATTTAAAAAAAAAATTGAACTAATCGGCCACTTTATAATGTTATAATAATTGGGAAAAGTTCATCAAGACTCGTTAGAAATGTTACGAATAAGAAGAAAAAAAAATTCAACATTTATTTTTTCAAGTTCTGCTTGATAACACAATGATTCAAAGCAAACAGAGAGCTCGCCCCACATTTTTGTAATTTCGAATGTTTGCTTAACACTTCACGTTACGATTCTTTCACTACAAGATAAAACATGAAAAAAATTGCTGGTATTTCATGAGGAATTTTTAAAAATTTAGAATTGGCATTTATTATAACTTTAATTACAACTGATGAAATAAAAAAAAAAAAAATAAAAAAAAATATGTACCACTGCAACTCATGAAAGGTCTTGGACTCAGTACTATTTAGGGTTCAAAGTATAATTAAGGGATCAAAATATCATATTAGGGATCAAAATATAATTAAATACCCATTATTAAATTATTTGAGATATAATTAAATATGAATCTTGATAAATAATACGGTAGTATTTCGTAGTGTATATCCCTTTTCTAGATCTTAGGAGCGATAGGATTTTCAAGAAAATCCTCCCGAAATTTCAATAAAAAAGTTATGAAGGAAAATAAATTTTATTTGTATAATAGCTAAAAAAACATACAAATTTTTTTTTTGCATCCATGATTATTTGAAAGATTACTAAATTCTCTAGAAAAAAAAAAAGTCATTGAATTCGAACCATTATTAGCAAAGATACAGCCTGTAGTAATG